ACGGGGGGTGCACTGGAATGTCACGGGAGGGAGGCACAGGACCTGCAGCGGGAGGCTCATCAAAAGAAAAACGCTCGCACTGCATGTATGTGCTGGAAGCTAGCCCGCACGCTCGGACTGAGCTTCCTGGCATCCTGGCAGCACCGCTAGCAGTCGGATAATCGCCAAACGCACTCCGGCACACTTCGAATGAACTGACTGGCAAAATCCTGACAAGCAGCGCTGGCGCAGCAAAATGCGCTATGCGCGAGCCGGCACGCTCAAACAACCCCACACCCTCCTTACCTCCCTCCCTCCTCCTCGTAAGCTCCATCGTTGGCCTCCTTCCTCCTCGTCCTGCAACTTCTCTCTTGTTTTTTCCTCCTCCTCCTCCTCCTTCTCGCCCTCCTTTTCCTAGTCCTCATCCTCCTGTCCTTTCCTTTCATCCCCTCTCCTCCTCATCCTCCCTCGCCGCATCCGTTTGCCTCCGCGGGGACGGGCAAGGGCTGGGGGGAGAGGAAAAGGAGGCGAAAACGGAGGGGGATGGAGGGGGTAGAGGACAAGCTATGTACGCTAGCGTCACATCTGACATCTGACCTTACCATGGCGTAGATCTCCGATCTGTTCGCACAGTCGGATGTCGAGCAGGGCAATGATCCCAAGAGGGTACGCAATGGATGGAAAAGCATGGCGCAGAAGAGCACGGCAGATCGTAGCATGCCATAGCATGGCGTGGCATTGCGCAGTAAAGCAATACAACAGAAGCATAGCAACGCACAGCGTGGCATCGCACAGCGGTGCACAACAAAACATCGCATTGCATGCCGTGGCATGGCACCGGATGACTTGGAGAATCAGTGGCCCGTCTATGAGAGGACAGGGCCTGTCCGGAATGCCGGCCCCATGAGCATCTGAATTCGCCACGCCCTCCACACCAACACCTGTGCCAGCTGGGGGGGTCGAGCACAGGGAGATCCAGAGCTCTCATGCTTCCAATCCTATAATTATCTAGCTCGATCAGGTTTTCGAGAAAAACCCGAGCACATAGAAAGCCCCGCTGACTAGGGCCACCGCCTTTTGCACCGCGCGCTTGGGCGGCCAATTCGGGGCCGAGCTGATTGCCCCTGCTCCCCTGCTCCGGCGCGAGAGCGGGCGTGCGTTGCCCGGGGCCCCCGAGACAGCGTGGGAGATTCGCTGCCACCTGACCCCTGGGGCTTGGGGATGACGATGCCAACCGCACGGTTATAGTCGGGGCGCGGCCCGCCCATCCAGCATCCGTTGCAGGGCCCGAGAGGGGACCGAGGAGGAGGAGGAGGAGGAGGAGGAGGAGGAGGACCAAGACGCCCAAGACGCCGTCGCCCACCGCCCGCCCGGGGGCCGCAGCGGGAAGGCCGAACCGGGCCCGGGGGCCGCAGACCGAGCTCGAAGCGCCGCGCCTCGCGCGGGCACCGCGGCAGCGGCGGCCGCCTCACCGAGCAGATCCCGTCGGCTGTGCGGAGTGCAGTCGGGGCGTTGACCTAAGGAGCCCTGCAGTCGGACTTGATTGGACAGGACACGCGAGCGGACACAAGACCCTTCCGGGGGCCACATTGCCACAGGAACGTAGGAGAAGTGGGTCGCGAGACACAGGACACAAGGGTATCCTTGATTTGGCAGGGTCGACCTCCTAATTCGGGCCGACTGTAAGTAAGGAGCGAGGCCCCTTGTATCCAGAAGTTAAGCTTCGGCTCCCCATCGAAGACTTGAGGAGAAAAACTTCGGCTAACTGTGAAGCAATCAAAGGACACTGGGCCCCTCCCCAACGGAAAAAGAGTTCCTGCCTCAGCGCCCCGACTGTAGAATACGCCAGGGACGCGATGCTCGAGCGTTGGACGCCGAAGTCGACGTGGAAGCACAAGAAGCTCGCCGAGGAAAGGGCTGCGCTGACGGACCAGACTGGCACGCAAGCTGCAACTGGTGCCCCGAAGACCCCTGTGAAGAGTGGCCCGCCAGCCGTGGAGGGCAAGACCGTTGCTCAGAAGGGGCTGCGAGGCTCAAGCAGGAGAAAACTGACAAGCAAGCTGGAACTCAGCAGAAGGATTCGATCCACAACTCAGCGAAGGCGAAGAGCGAAGGGCAAGGCTGGCGTCAAAGGGGTCGTCAGCTCAGATCAGAGGCGGCTGAGCTTGGCACTGGTGAGCCGCCAAACGTGAGCTAGGTTCGCACAGCGTCGGGGCCGATAGGGATTGGGGAGTGGGCGCGGCACTTCGCTCCGTAATGGGCGGCCTTCTTGCGCTGCCCAAAAGGGGCCGCTGATTGCGGCAATACCAGTGGAGACGGTCGTCGAGACGCCGCGGCTGCCGGCGGCGGCGGGGCGCGCAAAGCAGTCTGCAATGATTGACCTGAATAGGTCGTTGCACCGAGCAGGCTCCTGCTTGAGTCAGTCTGCGCAGCGCTCGAGGCTGCGCGCGTCGTCCGCAAGTCCGTTGGTTAGCTGAGTGCGAGAAGAGTGGCGTCCATGAACTTCGGAAGTAAGATGCGCGATGTGCGAGGTTGGCCTGTAGAGAAAAGCGTTTTGTTCATGACTCGTAGCCCTCAGGCGCGCTTGTCCCTCAGATGCCCGTGCCTCGTCAACATCTCGTACACGAGGGACTGCATCGATCTGAGACTGCATGTGGTCCGCCTCCAACCGTAAGGCCTGGACATCACATGGGGGCGCAATCGTCAGCCGAAGTGGTAACCAGCTGCGCAGTCTGGTACTATACATCACGCAGTTCAGCGACGCTCTGCTCGATCGCCGAGACTCTAGATTGTAGATCTGGAGCATTAGCAAGATGAGGATTGTCAAGGCGCTTCTGGACAATTTTCCCTGCGGCACACAGTTTTTTCCATAGAGACCTTGCTGGATGCACACGGAGGGCGGTAGTCTGGGGATATACCATATCGCGCAATTCGTGGACCTGTCCTGAGACCGTCCCCAGCCGCAGCAGGGCCTCCCGAGGAAACGGACGTAACGTGGAGCTCGTGTTGGAGCGCGTGCAGGTGGTCGACCCGCCCCTCGTCAGAGATCACCTCTCCGGAGCGAGACAGGACTTCAACGTGCATGATGCCCGTCGCGCGGGCAAGCTCCGCCCGGACCTGTCCTGTCAAGATAGGAACCTGTTCGGCCTTTTCTGTGATCGCCTGAAAACAATGTTCCGATTAATGAGCATCCGATGACCGTGCGCAGCGAACCCCTGAGCGAGATCCAATCAGAGAGTGGACGGATCGGCTGATGAGGGCACGCTGTTTGTCACTGTAAATTGTGACCTGGTCTCTGAGCTCAGCAGTGTCATAGGCTGGCGTAGCTGATGCGACACCAGGTGAACTCGTCTGACACCGAGGCCCTCCCCGGGAACGGCTGGGGCTGTGGGTGCACCGGCTGCTCAAATCGATTAGGCCGATCTCCCGCGATCGTCGAGCATGGTGTGGCATGCCAGAATGCATGCGAGGCGCAGCGCGCCCCAATTCGATGGCGCGGGCACGGGCTTCAACAGTGACGATGAGATCGAGGTCTCGCGCTTGGGTTGCCCCCAGGCGAAACGCCGATGGGTCGAGAGCTAACCACAGCTTAGGCTGCCCCTAGCGGAATGACGAAAGATCCTGTATGACGGTACCCAGACCCCCGACGCTGTTTTTTTCACAACGTCGACCCCCAGAGGTCTGGACCCCTTCCCTGGGACCCGTTTTTCGTCCGGAGTCGTGGTTTGACGGTCCCGAGGCCCAGTGAGGGCCCCCGGAAGCCGAACATAGCGAAAAACCTCCCGACGTGTTTTTGCTCCCCAGCGCGAGGAGGTCAGGGCATGTCGCAGGAGGCGCGGGAGTCCACGACCTGCGAGCACCAGCCAGGGTTGCCCCCGGCGCAGGGGCAGGCGGTCCGCAGCCGGGCGCAGCCGCAGAATCGTCGGGCCGCGGATCGAGATGTCCAGGGAAGCTCGGCAACTTGCCAGAGCCCATCGTTGCACCAAAATGCTGCTCTGGGAGTCGTGCCCCGACCCCCCCGCGAGGAGGACAAGGGGAGCAAGCACAAGAGCAGAACACAAGAGGTAAAGACTGAAGACCTGTGTGAGCGAGGGAAGTATCAGAGAGCCAACCCTGCCCGAGATCCGTAGGATGAAGGCGATAAAACGGTTCCCTCTGTCAAGAAGAGCAACTCATGTGTCATAATATGCGCCGACAAGGGCAGCAGACGAGAAAAGGAGATAAGCAAGAGAGAGTATACACATAAACATACACACACCTGTCCTTGCCCCGGATGCACGAAGCCGACAGGAACTGGCGGTCGGGGACGTCCAGGAGGGAGGCGTCCAAAAGGGGAGTAGCAAATCATGGCTCGAGGCGTGTGCGCGGACGGGGGGGGGGTCAGGCCACGTAGTGAGACAAGAAGAGGGGACCATGAAACCTGGGGACACAGCATGGCCTCGGCCATGATAGGCCCCCCCCTCCCACGGAGATCCTGCGTCGCGAGAAAGATGCTACACCGCGACGACACAAAGCTGGACCCCAAGACCCCCACCTGTCTGCCGCTCTCTTCGGGCCGGAGCCGTGATGGCCCCAAAGACCCGCAACGGGGCGAAACCGCCTGGCTCGAAGAGTGGCATGGCGGTGTCCGGCGCGGTGAGGGCGCGTGGTGGGGGGCGCCGGCGAGGTTGTTGCAGGGTGGGTGGCCCCTGAGAACCCAAGCCCAGGACGCCAGGAGGTTGGCGGCGTCAGGCGCGGTGAGGGCGTGGTGGGGGGCGCCGGCGAGGTCTTTTTGCAGGGCGGGCGGCCCCCAAGAGCCTAAGCCCAGGACGCCAGGAGGTTGGCGGTGCCTTGCGCGGTGGGTCTCTCACAGGGCCGTCGTCGCCCCTCGGGCGGAGCCCGACCGGCGGCCGAGGCCGAGCCGCGCGCGCAGCCGCCCGACCCGAGGAGGAGGAGGAGGAGGAGGAGGAGGAGGAGGAGGAGGAGGAGGAGGAGGAGGAGGAGGAGGAGGGGGAGGAGGAGGAGGAGGAGGAGCCGCGGGCCTCCGCCGGCCGTGGGCTCACGGCGCGGATGCCGCCCTGGTACCTGCGCACGGGGGCGCCGCCCCCCGGAGCGAGCGCGCGTCGAAGCGGGCAGCAGCGGCGCCAGGCCGCACCGGGTCGTCCGAGTGCCCTGAGATCTGGGCCTCCCTTGTTGCCCAAGCGGGCGTTTTCGCTGGCTGTCGGGCCCTGGGGGGCCGTCACGTGTCGGTCTGGCCCCAACAAACATGCAGCTGAAAATCCAACCAACTCTTTGGGCCGCATGTGGTTTAGGGCGATTATTCGTCCAACCCCCTTCTTCACGGTTCCTCATGAATGAACATCCCCCACCACCCGACCTGAGACAAACCAGGACCACTGCCAACATCCCCCAACCCTGTCAAAAACAGTGCAGAGTGCACTTTGCGGCAAATGCTGGATCATGTTCGGGCGCCCTGCGATCACTTGACATTTTGCTGCAAAATCCTGATCATGCGCGGACGCCCCAGGATCACTCTGCTTTGTTTTTTGGCAAGGATGGTGGTGGTGCCCTGGCGCGCGCGGCGCATTACGCGGGTTTCGCGCACCTGGCTGGCGTCTGCACTGGTTCCCGATGTATCTCTATGGCGGCCCCTGTCTATGCCGAGACTCGGGTGCTGCTGTATGTGCTAGGAGGGCGGGTGGGAGTAAGCGAGACGGCTTGCAGCTTGTGGGTAGCTTCATCACTGTTCCCTACTGAAAAACAACTCGCGGCTTCTGGGGGGGCTGCGAAGCGTGAAACTGTCGCCACTTTCGTGGGCTCCTGGGAGGCCCAGCGGAGTGGGGTTCCACGGGGATCCCGGTGGGACCTCGCGGCTCCGTGGGGGGCTGGGAAGCGTAAAGCTGTCGCCACTTTCGTGGGCTCCTGCGAGGCATGGCGGCGTGGGGTGTCACGCACACCTCGCCGAGACCTCGCGGCTCCGCGAGGGGCTGGCAACTGCGCAACTGTCGCTACTCTCGTGAGCTCCTGGGAGCCCAGCGGGGTGGGGTGCCACGCACACCTCGCCGAGACCTCGCGGCTCCCTGGGGGGCTGGGAAGTGCGCAACTGCCGACACTCGTGTGGGCTCCTGGGAGGCCCAACGGAATGTATGTGTACGCAGACCCAGCCGCTACTCCCGTACTCCCGCTGCCGAGCTCTTCTGATTTCACCTCTGGGTGCTCATGCGCACTGCGGGTCCTTCAAAATGTTCGTTTGTAGTGACGAGCGGTCCTGGGCACAGTCGCCATATGTTTAGGACATTATTTTGGAGAGGGCCTGAGCAAGGGGAATGTAGTTTCAAGGGAGCGTGCGAAATCAGCTTTTGGGAGGGGCTTGCCTAGCAGAGAGTGCTGTGCAGCGGATGGGGGCAGGAGGAGGAGGTGATCGTCTAGCACCAACGAAAGTTTGCAATCAGCTTGGGGAAGGGGCCTTGTCTAACAGAGGATGCTGTGTTGGGGAAGGGGTGCGTCTAGCACAAAGGAGGTGGGTTTAACCAGCGTGGGGAGGGCCTCGTCGAATAGAGGGTGCTGCACAATAGGGCATCCCTGTGCAGGGGGGGTACACTAAGTTATTAGTATAAGCTTGAGGGGTGTCCTTCTTTGATAAAAGGGTGGTGTGCAGATGAGAGGGGCACGTCTGATACCACGGGAGCGTGTTAAATCCGCCGACCCTGTCGGCGTGTGAGGGGCTTGTCTGTTCGAGTCGTCGTCTCCGTCAGTCGTCGTCTCCGTCGTCCCCTTTCCCTGCACCCTTCTCCTCAAGTTTGTGAGCGAGAAAAAAAACTAGCAATGTCGTAATCGAGTCGAAGGGAAACCTCTTCCATTTGATCCCTCCCCCGTCGGGGGGGGGTGTCCCGGGGACGGGTCCCGGGTGGGGTCCCGGGGGGGGTCCCGGGAGGGGCCCCGGGAGGGGTCACGGGGGGGGGGTCAGACAGGTCAAGAGTGCCCCAAGAGGCCGCCGAAAGGGTCCAAAAGGATCCCCGATCGCCAAACGATCGGTCCAAAACGCCTTCACGCGCTCCAGACTGCCCAGGAGGTCTCCCCGACTCCCCAAGACGCCTCCAAGAGCACTCCCGAGAGTGCCCCTAGAGGCCAACTTCATTGATTATCCGTGTTTTTGTGTGTATATAAAAAACGAACTTACTCAACTAAAACCCAGCGTAGAGGTGTGTATAAATAAATATATATATATATATATATGTTTACACACCCAGCGTATAGGTGTATATATATACACACACACCTATACGACCACCCTTCGGGTGATATGGAGGTTGTGGGGGGGGGAGAGAGGGGGGGAACCAACATCTGACTCAATCGATCTCACTATCGATCTCACTCAACGGGACACCACGGGACACCATGGGACACCACGGGACACTTGTCGATCTCACTATCGATCTCACTATCGGTCTCACCCAACGGGACACCACGGGACACCACGGGACACCGCGTGACACCTCTCAATCTCACTATCGGTCTCACGATCAATCTCACTATCGATCTCACTCAGCGGGACATCATAAGACACCACGGTACACCTCGGGACACCACATCTATCACACTATCGATATCACGATCGATTTCACTATCGATCTCTCTCAACGGGACACCACGGGACACCTCGGGACACCTGTCGATCTCACTATCGATCTCACCATCGGTCTCACCCAACGGGACACCACGGGACACCACGGGACACCACGGGGCACCACATCGATCTTAGTATCGATCTCACTATCGATCCCACTCAACGGGACACCACGGGACACCACGGGATCTCACTATCGATCTCACTCAACGGGACACCACGGGACACCTCGGGGCACCACATCGATCTCAGTATCGATCTCACGATCGATCTCACTCAACGGGACACCACGGGACACCACGGGACACCGGCGGGACACCGCGCGGCACCGGCCGCCGGAGGAGTTACATTTGGTCCGGCCGCGGCCCAGCCACAGGAGGATTTCCTCTCGCCCAGCTTCGCCTCGCCCGCACGCACGCACAGCACGCACGACACGAACCCGAAACCGAAATCGATTTCCCGGCAGGGGGGGTCTCCGTTTCACGTCGGACTCACCCCCCAACCTCCGATATGTTTGTATGTATGTATGTATGTATGTATGTATGTATGTACGTATGTATGTATGTATGTGTATATATACAATGATTATATATGTATGTATATATACATATATATATATATATACAAGACTGCACTGACGCTGCGCACCATGCACCTTGGTCCTTGAGTTTCGCAAACTAACGGAGTGCGTGCGTGCGTACATGCGCGCGCATCTGCGCCCATACGTACACGTTGCATGTGTGAATGAATGTACGCGTGCAAGGGTATGTACACGTATACGCAAATCGTTTGCGCAGCCCTGGGCGCGCATGCACATGCGCATCTCGGAAGGTCTGCAAGAATGTCTCAGGCGAAGAAAGCGGGAACACTATGGAGCAATGCACTTCCGCAGTCGGAGTTGCGAGGAAATCCAAAGCGAAGCGGGTTCGACTACTGCTTCTTCCTCATCCTTTTCCCCTTGCTTCGTTTGCTAGCTGGGTGGTAATCGTTACTTCTCCTCCGCGCTCCTTTATCTGCTCCTCGTTCTATTTGTCATAGTATTATTATGTGCCCGTTTCTTTTCCCCCCTTCCTCCTGCTTCTCCTCCTGTTTCTCCTCCTCAGTCCTGTGCCGATTGAGCTGAACCGGAAGAGCTGAAGAGGATGAGGAGAAGGAGGAGGAGGAGGAGGATGAAGACGAGGAAGAGGATGGGGACGACGACAACGACGACGACGAAGAAGGCGACGACAAAGAGAAGGGATAATGAGAGGGGGAGACCGCTGTGTTGGGATCTCGTGGTACGCCTTTCGGCGGCCTCTGGGAGGCAGTTTTGAAGCCTCTTGGGGGCTGTTTGTGGGCTTCTTGGGATCTTTTTGGGGCCTCTTGGGGGCCTCTTGGGGGCTCCTTGGGGCCTCTGGGGAGCCTCTTGGGGCCTCATGGGGCCCTCTTGGGGCCTCTCGGGGCCCGCTCGCGGCGGAAAACTTAAAGTTTTGAATTTTTGGGCGCCCTCTTGGGCCTCTCTTGGGGCCGTCTTGGTGCTCTCTTGGGCCGCCTTGGGCGCCTCTTGGGCGGTCTTGGAGCCCTCCTGGACCATGTTGGGGCCTTCTTGGGAGCCTCTTGGGCAGTACTGGGGCGATCTAGGGAGCCTCTTGGGCCGTGTTGGAGCGTGGGGAAGCGGAAAAAGCGAGAAGGTCAAAAACATCGAAAAACACACACAAGAAAATCAACCATTTTAGCCTCTCGGGGCTCTCTTGGGAGGCCTCTTGGGGGTCTCTTGGGGCGTCTTGGAGGCCTCTTGGGCAGTCTTGGGCCCATATTGGGCGTCTTGGGCCGATCTTTGGGTGTCTCGGGCCCTCTTTGGCCGCAGGACAGACCTGCCTGGGGGGTCCAGGAGGACCGGAGATCCACGGAAGCGGAAGCACTCTGCAGGAGCGCCCCAGAGGCTCGGGGAGGCCGAAATTCGTTTGGGGGGGGGGGGGCACCGTGTGCCGCTTTTCCAGGGTCCCCGGCCTTGTTAAAACATATAAATAGGAATATATATATATATATATATGTTAGAAACAAGATTTGGGCGTTCTCGCCGTTTCCACTTCCCGCCGCTCCAAAACGGCGCAAGAGGCCCCCAAGATCGCCCCAAGACGGCCCGAGCGGCATCCAAAAGGGCCCCCAAAGAGCCCAAGAGGACCCCAAGACAGCCCAAAATACCTCCAAGACGGCCCAAGAGGCCCCCAAGACGGCTCCAAGAGCGTGCCCAGACGGGGGACCCGAACGGACATTTCGAGCCCTCGGCCCCAAGAGGCTCCCAGGAGGCCCGAAGAGGCCCCCAAGAGTCTCCCCAGAGGCCCCCAAAGAGGATCCCAAGAGGCCCCAAAATTCCTCCCCAGAGGCCCCCGAGAGACTTCCGAAGAGACCCCAAGAACCATCCCTGAGGACTCT